TTGAGATGGTTGGGGATGAGTTGGACCGCAGAGTAACGCCAGGGTAGTGGGTTCAATCCCCGGGACCACCCCATACGTAAAAATGTATGCGCACATGACTGTAAGTCGCTTTGGATAAAACCATCTGCTAAATGGCATATTATTATTATTATTATAATATTATTATGTTACGTTTGGTATGGTTACATAAGACAGGTGGTTACTTAAGGGTGGTTGGTCGGGAAATAAATGGGTGGGCGTATAACGTGAATGTCTAGCAACCCAAAAAGTTTGCGAGTTCGAATCTCATCACAGACAACTTAATCATTTTAGCTAATTAGCAACTTTTCAATTACTTACTACTTTTAAGTTACGTTGCAACTACTTAGCATGTTAGCTAACCCTTCCTCTAACCTTAACGTTTTTAGCTAACCCTTTAACCTAACCCTAACATTAGCCACCTAGCTAGAATTCATAACATATCATACGTTTTGCAATTTCGTGACATATCATACATTTTGCAAATTCGTAACATATTGTACGTTTTACAAATTCTTAACATATAATACGAATTGTAATTTGTAACATAACATACAAAATGGGTGATGGACAGCCACAAATTAATACATAACATATCAAACTAACTGGAGCTTCTCGGATTTACATACAGAATAATACGAAATGCTCTGAGACCAGGTTGGATCGAAGGGTAGCTGGCCCAGAAGCAGCTTAACTCTCAGATAGAGCACATTAAGAAGTCTTGCCTGGGTTTGTTAACATGACGTTTGGGTTTGTTTTCACGCCCATACAGTTAGATTTTTCATCATCACAAATGATGTAAATGAGAATTACTGAGCCTGGCTTTAAACCCAATGGCTGTGTTTAAGAGCATTTAGCCTCTAAACAGCCAATCAAAATGTTGTTCTACCACATCGTTCCATCAGCAATGATTTTCTAACGCTCCACTCTGAGCATTAGAGCATATTAGGGGGAGAATTATGAACTTTCCAAAGTTAACAGTGTAACATCATGAAAGCTAAAAGCCATAGGCTACATAGGTCCTTGGAGTAATACACCACAAAGTGCCTGCGAATTCTGTAATATCTTGGGAAATTACTAAATTATTCATGACCAGAATTCCAATAAATTGTCAGAATTCCAGTAAATTGTCAGTCCGTACAGTGCAGAGCTCAACAGCTGTAGTAATAAACGGACCTCCATGAGTTGTGACTACAGCCACTGGCATTACTGATTGAAATGTCTCCACTGAAACAACAGTTTAATAGTGTTGTGTCGAGAAAACGTTGCTAATTATGCTGTGAGACCAAGGGAATCCGCTGACGCTGTATTTTCATCATAAAGGTTTATTATATCAGAGTATTCCAGCTTCAATTTATGGATACCTGCAGGCACCCGGAGAACAGCCGACCCAAATTCAAATATACTATTCTCACCGTCCTTTGTCCCAAACCATAGTATATATCCTATGTAAATAATAATATGCCATTTAGCAGACGCTTTTATCCAAAGCGACTTACAGTCATGCGTGCATACATTTTTGTGTATGGGTGGTCCCGGGGATCGAACCCACTACCTTGGCGTTACAAGCGCCGTGCTCTACCAGCTGAGCTACAGAGGACCACTATGTAATCTGATATGGGTGTTTTCCCCTACAGACCAATCCCAGGAGGTCACCTAACAGACTTCCTCTGCTTTAGGGTGCCCCTCTAAAACTGCTCCCCAGATGTCTCCCTGGGCCAAATCAACATTCTCTCAGATACCATTTGCAAACATTAACAAAGTCATAATTCCTCAGACACTACAATAGTTAATATATTATCAGCCGAGACGCGAAACAGTTACTTATAAACCCATGAGTTCCGGTTTATGAGAGTAGCCCAACCTACACTTTAACCCACCGCCGTGACTGCATGATATGCATGTCTGAGTTGACCGAGGCTTGAATTTCGATAAATTCTCAAGTTAATTTACGGCCTATTTTACTCTATTCGTGCCCTGGCATCCACAATAACCATAGCCATCTGAAATAAAATAATATAATAAGAGTGTTCATGTCAGTTCCATAAAATAGCCTCCACCAGATGAACATGTCTAGCAATAATGCCAATAAATGGGAGAAAAAATTGTGAAAATTAGGCTCCTTTTTTCTTTTACAAAATGGTCTTATTAGCTTATCTGTTTTTGAATATGATGTTTCACAATAACACTGTAAGTACTCATACTTATAATATAATTATGATCATTATAACACATTATAATAATAAGCTACACATCTATGAATGATAAAAATCTAAAACTCAATCTCAGCTATATATTCCTATGATTTTAGGCCTATCCTACTTGATCAACTCTTATCTTTCCGACTGAGGTTAGAATTCACATTAGTTGGCTGTTAGGTCATGTTATTAAATGAATGAGGGCGATATCAGCGGTATAAAAGGTCATGTTATTAAATGAATGAGGGCGATATCAGCGGTATAAAAGGTCATGTTATTAAATGAATGAGGGCGATATCAGCGGTATAAAAGGTCATGTTATTAAATGAATGAGGGCGATATCAGCGGTATAAAAGGTCATGTTATTAAATGAATGAGGGCGATATCAGCGGTATAAAAGGTCATGTTATTAAATGAATGAGGGCGATATCAGCGGTATAAAAGGTCATGTTATTAAATGAATGAGGGCGATATCAGCGGTATAAAAGGTCATGTTATTAAATGAATGAGGGCGATATCAGCGGTATAAAAGGTCATGTTATTAAATGAATGAGGGCGATATCAGCGGTATAAAAGGTCATGTTATTAAATGAATGAGGGCGATATCAGGTGTATAAAAGGTCATGTTATTAAATGAATGAGGGCGATATCAGCGGTATAAAAGGTCATGTTATTAAATGAATGAGGGCGATATCAGGTGTATAAAAGGTCATGTTATTAAATGAATGAGGGCGATATCAGGTGTATAAAAGGTCATGTTATTAAATGAATGAGGGCGATATCAGCGGTATAAAAGGTCATGTTATTAAATGAATGAGGGCGATATCAGGTGTATAAAAGGTCATGTTATTAAATGAATGAGGGCGATATCAGGTGTATAAAAGGTCATGTTATTAAATGAATGAGGGCGATATCAGCGGTATAAAATAAATAAAGCCCGCACACTCATAGGCCTACTCCCTTTATTCCCAAACAAACAACCTTTCGATCTTCTTCAGGTCATTACCGACTTTTTTCGGCCCTGCACCCCACTAAAGGATGTGCGTTTGATCACAATTGCCTGGCGATATAAGCGGTACCGTATTGCGAAGAATATGTATAACATAGGCTTGCTTAGTCAGTCTATTTGCTATGAGGATGATATTTTCCTTTTCTGCATTACGCCTCATTATCACGCTGTTGTGATTTTCAAATGAGTTAACTTAACCAAGGGCCTGGACTTCGGATTTTAAAAGCTTGTTTCCTCTTTAGCAAACTGAGAGGGTATCTAATATCACATGAACCTACAGTCATAGTAATTATAAGTATTAACAACCTCATAACAAGATGGGAAACCACAGGCGTTCGTTGTCAGCGGTCTTGGGGAAGTTTCCAAGTGCTTCGGTCTGAGGAGACGGGAGGAAACACCGACACACCAGAGGCACTATGCCAGAGAGGCTTTGACATGTTTTTAATAAGCATATTATTGATATTATCGGCTACGCTTTAATGGAGAAAGTACTGTCATCCTCAAACGTGTAGGCTAAACAACACTGGTTTCATTCTTTGCATCGATTTGGTGGATAGGCTATATGCAGGACTCAGAAATGTGAGTGGATATTCAACCTGAATGTTTTTTTACTGGTGTTGTCTTTGCTGAATGACCCAAATAAAAAAATCAGCCGAGGAAAAACGACTAGGCTATTTGGTTATCGAACTATTATTTTCATATGAACCCGTCTGGATTACTGCAACTCGCTGTTGGCTGGGCTCCCTGCCTGTGCCATTAAACCCCTACAACTCATCCAGAATGCCGCAGCCCGTCTGGTGTTCAACCTTCCCAAGTTCTCTCACGTCACCCCGCTCCTCCGCACACTCCACTGGCTTCCAGTTGAAGCTCGCATCTACTACAAGACCATGGTGCTTGCCTACTGAGCTGTGAGGTGAACGGCACCTCCGTACCTTCAGGCTCTGATCAGTCCCTACACCCAAACGAGGGCATTGCGTTCATCCACCTCTGGCCTGCTGGCTCCCCTACCTCTGCGGAAGCACAGTTCCCGCTCAGCCCAGTCAAAACTGTTCGCTGCTCTGGCACCCCAATGGTGGAACAAGCTCCCTCACGACGCCAGGACAGCGGAGTCACTCACCACCTTCCGGAGACATTTGAAACCCCACCTCTTTAAGGAATACCTGGGATAGGATAAAGTAATCCTTCTACCCCCCTCCCCCCCCCCCCCCGCAAAAAAAAACAAAAAAACATTGTAAAGTGGTTATCCCACTGGCTGTAAGGTGAATGTACCAATTTGTAAGTCGCTCTGGATAAGAGAGTCTGCTAAATAACGTAAATGTAAATGTAATGAGTTGCTGCATGTCATCTCCAACTCCATTCCTGCTTCTGCTAAATCCACACGCTAGGTACTTGAGAGAACTCATTGGCAGGTGAACTCTTCCAATCAGCGCCATCTAATCAGCGCCATCCAATCAGCGCCATCTATAGCTCTGCTCCCCTTGCGCACGTCTCAGTCCTCGTCGTTCCAGAAGGTTCCATGGATCTCACGTCCCTAACGCAAGGGGCTCGAGGTTCCCGCTCAAAACGTTGGTCCAGGGCTGTCCCTATTGCAAGGGGCTCGAGGTTCCCGCTCAAAACGTTGGTCGAGGGCTGTCCCTATTGCAAGGGGCTCGAGGTTCCCGCTCAAAACGTTGGTCCAGGGCTCTACCGTAACCGTTGCTGCTCACTATGACTTTTTGAGGGAACCATTTCTGACTTACTCCAACCCCACTGACGCTTTCATGATCGGGTACCAGGGTCACACCGGCAGCTGGTGTTCACTGAGTCGGTCAACCACCCCGGGCTGACCATGAACCCCCACCAGCTAGGAGGTGGCCACCCACAACACCCTGCACACTTCTTTGGGACGCAACACCGAGACTCTCTCAACTTCTACCCATTGGATTTACGGAACAGATTTCATGGTAATGTATTGGAAAGAGAGAGAGAGAGAGTGTGTGTGTGTGTGTGTGTTGAAAAGTCAATTGAATCGTTTTTCAGTCTTAATACATAGGCCTATCAATAATAATGACAACAATTAGGCTGCAATGATGATGGGGCTAATCATTCATTTTCATGTATGTTAATCACCAGTTAATGTTTGTTTCTATTACAATATTATTGTGGTGATGTGGGACCACGAGGCATAGGCTTTATAACAGCCACTGGTGAACATAACTAATACCTAGAGTGGATATGAGATAGAGTACTTATGGAAAACATTTCCACGTTCCATTTTCCCCCTTGGCTACACTTTGGTAAGGGAAAGCGTCAATCAGATAGTGGGGATGTTTTTGTTGCGTGCAGAACTCCCTGCCCTCGGCCATGTCAGCCTATATTGTCATACTAGTAACATATGAACAAATAAACTGTCACAACAGGAAACATGAGAGGTATGGAACGATAAGGCTGTGACATGAGTATTAATATGAATACTGTCACATTGACTACAGCAAGGCTATATAGGCTATATTCTCTTACAAGTTTTATTTTACTTCTGCTCTTTTTTTTCTCAACACTTTTTGTGTTGTTGTTTTATTTTTACTTTTTTTTGTTAAAAATAAATGCACTGTTGGTTAAGGGCTGTAAGTAAGCATTTCACTGTAATGTCTGCACCTGTTGTATTCGGCGCATGTGACCAATAAAATTTGATTTGATTTGATATTCAATGTAGATATTGGGGTCGATATGGTCCTAAAGCGGTCTATATGGTCCTAAAGCGGTTTATATGGTCCTAAAGCGGTCTATATGGTCCTAAAGCGGTCTATATGGTCCTAAAGCGGTCTATATGGTCCTAAAGCGGTTTATATGGTCCTAAAGCGGTCTATATGGTCCTAAAGCGGTCTATATGGTCCTAAAGCGGTTTATATGGTCCTAAAGCGGTCTATATGGTCCTAAAGCGGTCTATATGGTCCTAAAGCGGTCTATATGGTCCTAAAGCGGTTTATATGGTCCTAAAGCGGTCTATATGGTCCTAAAGCGGTTAGCGTTTATATGGTCCTAAAGCGGTTTATATGGTCCTAAAGCGGTTTATATGGTCCTAAAGCGGTCTATATGGTCCTAAAGCGGTTTATATGGTCCTAAAGCGGTTTATATGGTCCTAAAGCGGTCGATATGGTCCTAAAGCGGTCTATATGGTCCTAAAGCGGTTTATATGGTCCTAAAGCGGTCTATATGGTCCTAAAGCGGTCTATATGGTCCTAAAGCGGTCTATATGGTCCGCTTCATGCTTTATAATGTAATCAAACTTTAAAAACGAAACAAGGAATATTTGTGCGGTCTGCAGAACACATCAAATTGCTGGTGAGTAATAATATGGAACTTGACATGACTGTCTCATCAGCTGTTACCTCGTTTTGGCACAGGTTTGGAGTGCATTTGTGGTGCATCAAATATCTGTCATAAGCAGAGAAAATATTCCATTAAGGTGACAGGTAATTACATTCAAAATTAAGAGCATTAGAAAGAGTGCTAAACACCAAAATCCCTCCATTTTGAAAATGTGATGGCATGTCAAAAACTTCAATTTGCATTTTTATAACTTCATACATGTATTATAGACTAATCCAATGAAATGTGATTAAGATATTATAAAATATGTAGGAGTCTGTCATTTTCATTCAAACTTTAGGCTACTAGGATCCAGATTAATGGAGCGCAAGTCTAAACCAGTCTATTTTCCCACGGCTGGAAAGGTTTCCCCCGGCACACACACCAGGCCACAGGCAATCTGTAAAATAAATATTGTCTTTGTCACGCGGTCAATCCCACTGCGAATTTATCCAAACCAAACCACTATCTTATCTGAGTGAGTGCGAAAATCGTAATTATTTTCTTCCCAAACGTTCAAACCAGAATTTTGTTTCAGAATCTAGCCAGATTTTTTAGGTTGTAAATTTTTTTACAACCTATATAGACTATATGGCCTATATGCATCTGTAGTCTCGATTAATTTAATATGTTTTTGATCATTTAACGTATTGGCCTAATTCTCATTTATGACGAGAGATTCATGTCATTATTCTCAATATAAAGTAGACTAATAATGTTGTTAAATTATTAAAAATAATTGTCACACAGTCCTATTTGGAACGATATCAAATTGACAGTTTAAATTGAGCCCTACGTCGACATGGACTCAGCACATGCAGAAGAGTGGTTATAAAGGCTTCATAGACCACTTCAAACTACATAAAGAGTTTATAAACTAGCCTCAAACCAACAGGGCAAATAATCCTTTGAATTAGTCTAAGATCCCTCTGCCTCGGGCTGTGTTCTTTTCCACCTCATTGCAGAGCAAAACGCGCCTGGTGTTGCTCTGTGTTGTAGTTGCTTCAATCTAAACCCCACTGTGATTCTCCCTCTCAATTCAATTTCAATTCCATTTCAATGTAAGGGCTTTATTGGCATGGGAAACGTGTGTTAACATTGCCAAAGCAGGTGAAGTAGATAGTAAACAAAAGTGAAATAAACAATAAATATTAACAGTAAACATTACACTCAGAAGTTCCAAAAGAATAAAGACATTTCAAATGTCATATATCTCTCTCTCTCTCTCTCTCTCTCTCTCTCTCTCTCTCTCTCTCTCTCTCTCTCTCTCTCTCTCTCTCTCTCTCTCTCTCTCTCTCTCTCTCTCTCTCTCTCTCTCTCTCTGTCGTCACTAGTTACCACAGCCACAAAGTCATAAACCCCGACCATTTCCACCATTTATCTTCTCATTTTGTTTTAATTAGACCTAAAACCTTCAATTAAGACCAAAAATAACATTTTTGTTTTCATTAATTTCTACGATATAGCCAATTTTGTCTTCGTGGATGTGGTAACTAGTGGAAACCATCTCTCCGCCCCCAGGAAACGATGTTTCCCAAGATAGCCTGCTCCTCCACGGCCCATTCGCCCGGAAACACAAGCGCATCCGCTCCGCCTTGTCCGCGTCGCAGCTCCTGCCGCTGGAGCGGGCGTTCGAGAAGAATCATTACGTAGTAGGAGCAGAGAGGAAACAGCTGGCCAACTGTCTCATTCTGTCTGAAACACAGGTGAGATAAGATACTAAAATATCCTATATGAAATATGTATATGGAACACAGTTCAGGAATAGGCATACAGTGGGGAGAACAAGTATTTGATACACTGCCGATTTTGCAGGTTTACCTACTTACAAAGCATGTAGAGGTCTGTAATTTTTAATCATAGGTACACTTCAACTGTGAGAGACGGAATCTAAAACAAAAATTCAGAAAATCACATTGTATGATTTTTAAGGAATTAATTTGCATTTTATTGCATGACATAAGTATTTGATACATCAGAAAAGCAGAACTTAATATTTGGGACAGAAACCTTTGTTTGCAATTACAGAGATCATACGTTCCCTGTAGGTCTTGACCAGGTTTGCACACACTGCAGCAGGGATTTTGGCCCACTCCTCCATACAGACCTTCTCCAGATCCTTCAGGTTTCGGGGCTGTCGCTGGGCAATACGGACTTTCAGCTCCCTCCAAAGATTTTGTATTGGGTTCAGGTCTGGAGACTGGCTAGGCCACTCCAGGACCTTGAGATGCTTCTTACGGAGCCACTCCTTAGTTGCCCTGGCTGTGTGTTTCGGGTCGTTGTCATGCTGGAAGACCCAGCCACGACCCATCTTCAATGCTCTTACTGAGGGAAGAAGGTTGTTGGCCAAGATCTTGCGATACATGGCCCCATCCATCCTCCCCTCAATACGGTGCAGTCGTCCTGTCCCCTTTGCAGAAAAGCATCCCCAAAGAATGATGTTTCCACCTCCATGCTTCACGGTTGGGATGGTGTTCTTGGGGTTGTACTCATCCTTCTTCTTCCTCCAAACACGGCGAGTGGAGTTTAGACCAAAAAGCTCTATTTTTGTCTCAACAGACCACATGACCTTCTCCCATTCCTCCTCTGGATCATCCAGATGGTCATTGGCAAACTTCAGACGGGCCTGGACATACGCTGGCTTGAGCAGAGGGACCTTGCGTGCGCTGCAGGATTTTAATCCATGACGGCGTGGTGTGTTACTAATGGTTTTCTTTGAGACTGTGGTCCCAGCTCTCTTCAGGTCATTGACCAGGTCCTGCCGTGTAGTTCTGGGCTGATCCCTCACCTTCCTCATGATCATTGATGCCCCACGAGGTGAGATCTTGCATGGAGCCCCAGACCGAGGGTGATTGACCGTCATTTTGAACTTCTTCCATTTTCTAATAATTGCGCCAACAGTTGTTGCCTTCTCACCAAGCTGCTTGCCTATTGTCCTGTAGCCCATCCCAGCCTTGTGCAGGTCTACAATTTTATCCCTGATGTCCTTACACAGCTCTCTGGTCTTGGCCATTGTGGAGAGGTTGGAGTCTGTTTGATTGAGTGTGTGGACAGGTGTCTTTTATACAGGTAACGAGTTCAAATAGGTGCAGTTAATACAGGTAATGAGTGGAGAACAGGAGGTCTTCTTAAAGAAAAACTAACAGGTCTGTGAGAGCCGGAATTCTTACTGGTTGGTAGGTGATCAAATACTTATGCCATGCAATAAAAAGGAAATTAATTACTTAAAAATCATACAGTGTGATTTTCTGGATTTTTGTTTTAGATTCCGTCTCTCACAGTTGAAGTGTACCTATGATAAAAATTACAGACCTCTACATGCTTTGTAAGTAGGAAAACCTGCATAATCGGCAGTGTATCAAATACTTGTTCTCCCCACTGTATATAAATTCATTTTAATAAATTCCAGCCCAAACTCATTCGGATTTGATAAATTCAAGTCAGGAGGTTCTGCTTCTTAATTGAAATAAAATATCTTCAAGAACTTTGAATTAAAGTCTTCAGCCAATAATATTCATTAAGTTGTTATAAATAAAGGATATGATTTTATGCTTTTTTAAATTCGATTGATGGGACCCTTTAGCGTTCAGTGGCATAGCGTTCTGTTGCATAGCTTTGTGAAATAAAGATTTTAAACAGGCTTCATTCACATTATTTTAAATATCATTTACATTATTATTTTTAATATTCAATTATAATTCATATTCGGGTTTAATATTATTATTATTATTATTATTATTATTATTATTATTAGGCTATTAAACACATTAGGCATATTCATTAGTAGCTCTACTGGAAAACATAAAACATTTCCTGCAAGCCTACATAGGGCAAATATTGACAAATATTTTTATGCTGAAATTAGCCAACTGTTAGCGATAGGGCCTATGTTAGAAAATGTGACTATTACAACAATTTATTGTCAAACTCTGTGAATCATTTTACTAAATCATAATCAGTTAAAAACTTCATTAAAAAGGTCTCGAAAGCCTGTGATTTCCATTTCTGATGCATTTTCGTTGGAACAATAGTTTTTAACCTACCCTGCTAATCTATCTGGTTAATCTAGCCGGTTAATCTAGCCTGCTAATCTAGCCTGCTAACCTAGCCTGCTAATCTAGCCAGTTAATCTAGCCGGTTAATCTAGCCTGCTAATCTAGCCGGTTAATCTAGCCAGTTAATCTAGCCTGCTAATCTAGCCGGTTAATCTAGCCTGCTAATCTAGCCAGTTAATCTAGCCGGTATTAGCCTCTAATCTAGCCGTTAATCTAGCCTGCTAATCTAGCCTGCTAATCTAGCCTAATCTAGCGTATCTAGCCAGTTAATCTAGCCGGTTAATCTAGCCTGCTAATCTAGCCGGTTAATCTAGCCAGTTAATCTAGCCTGCTAATCTAGCCGGTTAATCTAGCCTGCTAATCTAGCCTAACTAATCTAGCCGGTTAATCTAGCCTGCTAATCTAGCCTGCTAATCTAGCCTGTAATCTAGCCTGCTAATCTAGCCTGCTAATCTAGCCTGCTAATCTAGCCGGTTAATCTAGCCTGCTAATCTAGCCAGTTAATTAGCCTGCTAATCTAGCCGGTTAATCTAGCCTACTAATCTAGCCTGCTAATCTAGCCTGCTAATCTAGCCGGTTAATCTAGCCGGTTAATCTAGCCTGCTAATCTAGCCTGCTAATCTAGCCGGTTAATCTAGCCGGTTAATCTAGCCTGCTAATCTAGCCTGCTAATCTAGCCTGCTAATCTAGCCTGCTAATCTAGCCTGCTAATCTAGCCTGCTAATCTAGCCGGTTAATCTAGCCTGCTAATCTAGCCGGTTAATCTAGCCTGCTAATCTAGCCTGTTAATCTAGCCTGCTAATCTAGCCTGCTAATCTAGCCTGCTAATCTAGCCGGTTAATCTAGCCTGCTAATCTAGCCTGTTAATCTAGCCTGCTAATCTAGCCGGTTAATCTAGCCTGCTAATCTAGCTGGTTAATCTAGCCGGTTAATCTAGCCTGCTAATCTAGCCACCTGAACAAAAAAAATACATATACATTTTAGTTACAGCATAAAGCATCAACGTATGTGAAATAGTGACGGTGCATTCGGACGCCTTTACTTCCACATTTTGTTACGTTACAGCCTTACTCTAAAACGGATTAAATTGTGTTCCCCCCGATTAATCTACACACAATACCCCATAATGACGAAGCAAATACAGATTGTTCAAATATTTTGCACATTTATAAAAAATTAAAAACTGAAATATCACAATTACACTCAGTACTTTGTTGAAGCACCTTTGGCAGCGATTACAGAGTCTTCTTGGATATGACGTTACAAGCTTGGCACACCTGTATTTGGGGAGTTTCTCCCATTGTTCTTTGCAGATCCTCTCAAACTCTGTTATGTTGGATGGGGAGCGTCGCTGCACAGCTATTTTCAGGTCTCTCCAGAGATGTTCGATCGGGTTCAAGTCCGGGCTCTGGCTGGGCCACTCAAGGACATTCAGAGACTTGTGCCGAAGCCACTCCTACATTGTCTAGGCTGTGGGAACTTGGGAAGGTTGAACACCAGACGGGCTGCGGCATTCTGGATGAGTTGTAGGGGTTTAATGGCACAGGCAGGGAGCCCAGCCAACAGCGAGTTGCAGTAATCCAGACGGGAGATGACAAGTGCCTGGATTAGGACCTGTGCCGCTTCCTGTGTGAGGTAGGGTTGTACTCTCCGAATGTTGTAGAGCATGAACCTGCAGGATCGGGTCACCGCCTTGATGTTAGCGGAGATGTCTCCGGCGTGGTGCCATTTGGGATGCATCCTATGGGTCTCTATAGCAGGTGGGGATCACAGGACACTCAGGGTGAACAGAACGCTGTTGTAGAAACATCAAGGATGATCAATGGAAACAGGATGAACCTGAGCTTCATTTTGAGTCTCATAGCAAAGGGTCTGAATACTTATGTAAATAAGGTATTTCTGTTTTTTATTTGTAATAAAAAATTGTTTTATAAAAACCTATTTTCGCTTTGTCATTACGGTGTATTGAGTGTAGATTGATGAGGAAAAACATGTATTTAGTTAATCAATTTTAGAATAAGGCTGTAACATAACTAAATGTGGAAATAGTCAAGGGTTCTGAATACTTTCCCAATGCACTGTATGCATACACTATACATATGCATAGGTAAATTCATGTCAGTAAACTGTTAAAATCTGTAACCCTACAAACTGAAACACCTTATCTGCAGTTTGTCTAGAGATAATCAGATCAAGCCTTTACTGGGCGTTGTAGTAGGGCGTTGTAGTTTCCAACAGGCCAATATTCTACATAGTTTAGTGCAGAAAAAATGACCATAATCCATTACACGCCTACTTATCCGGTCTATTTCTATTTTTTACGCCTGCTACATAAAATACATTAGAATGCATGATCGAGAGACCATTTGCTTCATGAGGTATCTTTACCTGAAAATACATGACCTAAGTGATTGTCTCTGTCGGTGTTCAGAAGTCAAAAGTATGCCTTATTCACTATGAACTATTCACTAAATAGTGATTGTCCGACAGCAGCTCTACAGAGATGAGATGACTTGGAATTAAATAATAAAGTATTCAAATAAAACAAATGTAATATACACAACTGAAATATTTTATTAAAGTAATGTAAATAAATGTACGTTTTAAAGCTAATTTCCTGCAATTCTACACATTTTGCTGTTAATGAT